GGAATAACCATGGCTAAAGAAATCCACACCAACCGGTCATTTTTAAACAAAAGCAAATTCTTATTTCATTATGTGAAAGCCGTCATCATCTACTTTATTTTAACATTAAAAGTTATTTATGTTCTTTTCAAAAAGTTTTGCAGCACATAATTTATTAAAAACGAGTTCCAAAATATCTGAATTTCACTATAATAAACCCAACATCTTTTCAAATATTAACAAGAGTTTCCAATCGTACGAAATAAAACTTGGACCGTTTCTCTATCAAACAAAAAAACGACCTTGAAGTTTGGCTAAGAAATAGCGGAGTTATTAAGAGTTTTTTCCTGGCGGACTTCTGGAACACCCTGTATGGTGAAGCGTAGACTTTTCGTCTTTTTAGAATATAGTTTCTTGAACTAAGCTAAAACTCAACCTTTTGGTCCAAAAATGTGTTCATAGAGGTAACTCGACATGCTCTGCATGACAGACAGATTAAACTCTCTGCATCTAGCATTTAAGATGGGTTTTTGGAGACCAGTTTTGGAAAAATCTACTTAGAAAAGTCATATAGGCATGAATGTACATCAAATTCATGATGAGCATTAAAAATCATCTATAACCATGAATGTTTTGACAAAAAAGCGGTGTAGCACCTAAAGTGGCTCTTTCGTAAGCTCTGCAGAGCTATTTACCATACACAGTTACATATTTATTCAGCCGAATTTATTTCATCAACAAGTAATATAATGTTTGACAACATCAATGGAATTTTTCAATGACTTTTTCTGATCATCCTCTAATCCCAAATCCAAATTCAGTTCGGTAACATCCATTGAGACAAGTCGATTTTCTTTTGATACTGCTCGAATAATATCAATTACTTCTGAACAATCCATTCCCCTCTCCACCGGTGTTCCTGTCGATGGGATCGCCGAAGGATCTATTGAATCAACATCCCAACTAATATGAACATTTTTGCCTTTTCCAACCGTTTTACTTAATATTTCATTAATATCTTTATCTCTGATCGAGCCATACAGACATTTAACTTTATTCTCTTTTAACACTTTCTTTTCGAAGTCATCGACATCTCTCAATCCAATATAGAGAAGTTGATCAAAACGCAATTTTTGGTTCACAGGAAAGTTTTTATCAGCATCCAGTCCAAGCATAAATGACATTGACATGCCATGATAATGACCTGACTCAGACGATTGACGAGTATTTAAATCCGGGTGTGCATCTATCCAAATAACAAATGACTGTTGAGGATATTTTTCGAGAAAACCCGATACTGTACCTAAACTAAAAAGCAAAAATGGTGGAATAAGACATTGTCAAGGAGAGCTCACCCCATGGTATGATCACCGCCAATAATCAATGTTTTATTGTTTTCATCAAGGGATTTCTTAACCATACTGCGCAATTGTAAATTTGCTGTGAATATAGCATTTTCATTACCTGACGCAGAACAATCATCTAGTTTTCGAATTATGGCTGAATTGTACAGGTGAACGGTGTATTCATTTTCTTTGATATAGGGCAGTAGAATATTTGATAAAATATCGGGTGTATTTTCGACTCCCTTCTCGTCTTGGCCCAACTTGCATGCATATTGAACAATACCAAAATTTTTAACCATTATTTGCTTTTGGTTGGACTGATTGTACACATGAAGTAACGCTTTTCTTCTCTTTTTTTAGTATTTGTATGTGATATGATAGGCTTCAAAAACAGTGTATATATATACTTACTCACCTATACTCACATACGTCATGCTTTTCTCCTTCATAAGAAAAGAAGAAGGAGATCGTTCATACATTTTGTCATCACCTATTTGAATTTTTTAAAACTTACTTCGCTCTTGCTGGGCAGTGGGAAATCATTCAGACTTTTAATAAAAAATCGAAATTTTGTATAACTGACGAGAGAACCTCTAGAGATGCCCACTTCCGATTTCAATGATTCATACATCGATCGGTAGAGTATACCGAGGTAGTAAATACCTTATAAGGATTTTCCCCATGTCTCTTTCCTAAAAAGTTATAGTCATTTTTATTTTTGGGCTCTCTGGGGCTCAGTAATCGCAAATGGTCAATAACTAATAAGAGCTGTAATCCAATTTTTTCTATATAGAAACTGGATCTTTTTTCTAAAAAATACTGGGAAATTAATAATAGTACGCTGATTCTCATGGTTAAGGTTTATGGTTAAGGGGTAAACAAATAACATCTTGTACGAAAAAGTTCTCATGTGTTCGATATATCGATTCCGATGTATATCTAACTGCAATCGAGGAAAAATGTAAAAAAAGATCATTTTGACAATTTTACATATGGTCATATTTTAGACGGAAGGAATATTAAATGAATTATAAATTTCTTCTGAAAGTTCTGTCCTTAGTGTCCTAGCCAGGAATGGGCGAGTCCGAGTCAATACACTCGAGTCGACTCGCAAACTGAGCAACGTTGACTCGCCTGTGTGACTCGAGTCATTCATCCAAAAAGATTTTCATTTGCTCTTAGAAAAAATTTACAATTTATAAGATTAAATTATCACTTCTTAATAACTTTTATCCTAATGGAATATACTGCATTAGAACAATTTTTTCAACAGCTTTTCTGCCTATGTATTCATATGGTCGTGAACGATAAATTGTGTATATTACTGAATATATATGTTTTATCCCGTTCTGTTTTGTTCGGTTCATTTCTGAAGTGTTTACATGTATAAAAAGAGTGAAGTTATTCCAAGGGGGAGAAAACTGATTTGAGGATTTTAAAGATTTCAAAAGATTTGGAGAGATTTTAGACATTCAAATCAGCTTTGACTTAAAGATTTAGATTGATGTGGATTGATTGGAGTCAACTTAATTTGAAAGATTTGGATTAATTCAAATCATTTTTCTCCCCCTTGAGTTATTCTCTACGAAACGTTGTTGCTTTTACTGACTCATAGCTACATTGTCCTAGGCTAAAACAATGTATTCGTTATAAACACACATGTTTTGTTGTTAATAATCTGCAACTATAAGGTTCATGATACCTTGGATATGGAAATATCCGACCGTCTGGATCAAAAACTAGGAACTGGATAATGTGTCAGGAAACTTATTGTTCATATATCAGTACAAACAGAAAACGATATAATCGACTCGTCCATCCCTGCCTATGGCGCCTTTTTTGAAATAGCTTTTTTCAATTTATTTGGTTGCTTTGGAAAATGTTCGTACATACTCCAAAACAAATACGGCTGCTAGGAAGACACCGAAGTCAGTTTCCATTTAACCACATAACTACGCCTGTTGAAGGCGTATCATGCGGCTGTTGATAGCAGCCACGCTTTTCCATTTTCGATGTCGCCTCAAAGACATTGAAGTCGGTTTCCATTTAGTCACATTGATGCATTTCCGAAAAAGATAGGTTTCGCTTCTGTTGAACTCGAGCTTTTCCTTTTTTTCTTCGAGCTTTCTTTTTTTTTCTTTTTCGCTGCTTGAGAGGCTATAGCCTCTCAAGTTCATTTTTTATGCGAGATTCTGATAAGAATGCGTGTTTTTATTCAGAGTCATACGGAAGTAAGTATAACAGAATGAGGCAAAACCAAGGGGAAAACCTCACTTTAAGTGTGTGCATCTCCGAGTTAAGTGTCATTTTAAGTGTTTAAGTTCTTAAGTGTCACTTAAAGTGGTTAAGCGTCATTTCAAATTCCGCATCTTTCTGGAAAGTTAAGAGTTCAGCCCTATATGTTTTGAGATCTGAAATGTATGGACTGCAGATGTTCCACATCATACGAGTCTGTTTGTTTTCATCATTTTAATGAACAAAGTTAGAAAGCAGCTACAAATGTCAGTAAAAAAGTTTCTTCAGTATAAATCAGTCGGTTTAGTGACAAGACAACAGTTATTTTTCTTTCTTTTTACTGTTGTTATTTTACTATGTATAGACGGGCGATGGATTTTTCAGTCTTTCTCTTTCTCTATTGCTAATCGTTCGTTTATTTATGGATGCTACTCACTCGAAGTAACGTCATCGAGTAACGTCTCTATCTTATTCTTTCGTCTGTTTTCTCTCTTTTCTTTCTATACATAAATTCAGATAATATTTATTTGAGAACAATGAAATAGTTAAAACAAAATCGAACGTTTACAGTTGAACAAGGGCAATTATCAAGGAAGAATATTAGTCAGGCATTAGCTGTCGGCCTAATAGCCCTAATACATGCATGTACATTCAATACCACTTAACTTTTGAGCTAAAAGCGAAATTTGTTACTTTTTCTTACCGTAAGGAGGAAAAATTAGTAATCACTACTGCTAAAATCTTGTTCAAACAGAAAAATAAACGTGACCCTTAAGTGTCACTTAAAGTGACTGTCACTTATAAGTGTGTGCACCTTTTAGGAGGTCGTTTCGCCCTTGGGCAAAACTGACTAATTTTAACAAGAAAAATGCTAATTCGTGATTTTTATTATAAGATAGTATTCTTGTGAGCAGATGCCGGAACAAAAATGCTGATACTTCAATTTCCTACATTTATTGATCTTGCTACGACTCATGAAAATACTTTTTTGATAGAAAGAAGAAATACATTTTTCTTGCTTAATTAGTAGATATTTACCTAATTAGTGAGTCTCTCAGGTGATCCTAAATAACGTGCAGTTTACCTCTAAACTAAAAGAACTTTTAAGTGACACTCATTATAGTTATTTTGTGATCTGCATGAAAAGTCAGCAATTCTGATCCCACCTTTTCCAAATTTTGAAAAGTATAACAATAAGAGTCAAAATTGAGCTTCGATTATAACCGTTATCTGTTTTCGGTTGGTAACTGAAACTGGCGCATATTTACTCTTCTTCAGCAAACTGAATACAGCCTCTTTCTTCTATAAAACAGTCATCAAGTGATGGCAATCGATGTTTCCAAGCTAAACAAAGATGCGACTATTACGCGTCGTCATCGTCGAAACCTTTTACATGCGACTTCAATATGACTTCTATGTCCATACCCATAGGCACGTTGAAGGCATATGGAAGATGATGTTACGTTGAAGTGGCAAATTAGTTTTCAGGAAAATAATTAGAATATTAGTACATACTTTAAGGCATCTACCTCTTGTTTTATCCTGTTGGCAATGGTTCATGAATGACCAAAACTGAGAATAAAATAACCAGAAATCCTAGATTTCTATGAGTTTTCTCCGTAAATTTGAAAGTGTTCCAAAGTAATGGCTTCATTTTATCAACTATCTCTCACTCATCTATTGCTACACGTTTCTTGTCCTTCAAGCGGTGGCGTCATTTGTGAAAGGGTCTAAAGAGAACAGTTATATAATGTCACGTTTTGACCTTCTGTTGGCAAAATTTCCTTAACACTAGTTAAGATTATATAACATAGAATGTTTGCCCGTCGGTCCATACGAGGAATTTAAAATTAAAATAACTCTTGAGAAAAGAAAACGGTCTGTTTAGATGAAGCTTATGGACTAGAGGTAATTCCACATGAAGAAGCTTCTGGTACACTCGATGACCTCCAGGAGTCCCTAGAAAACCTTTATGATTTTGCTGCTTTTAAGGTGATATTCGGTTCTAATAAATAGACGTGGCTTCGGATACCTAGAAGTCTCTAAGAGGTCGCCAAAGAAACTTTGGATTTCTACCGGTTTCGGGGCAGTTTTGGCATGTATTTGCCATAAATAATAAGTTTCAACCGGTTGTCTTGAAAGCTTTTAAGTGCCGATCCAAAATAGAGGAACAATAGAAAGAAACGTTCTATCTAGCTAAAACTTATAGACTAGAGGCAATTTCGCATGGAGAATCTGATGATCACACACATGAGTTTTAGGAAATTTTTACAAGTTCTGCACAGAAACCTCCACTGTTTCTGTTTATCCTTGTAGTTCGGTCCGGTGTAAAAAAAATAAGATATAACATGCTGTTTGTCACCGGAGGATCTCCGTGAGGTCTTCAGAAAACTTCTGGTTTTCTGCTGTTCTTTGAGATCCTGCCAGTGTGAAATGGAGGCTGGGCATGTCTTCCGACACCGCGCTACTCGAGATTTGTCGATTAGCGTCGCGACAAAAAGCCAGTCATGGAACTGGCCTTAATCGGCGAGGAACAGAACTACCGAGTTTTACCAAGCTATGTTGAAGTAGCTAGAGGTTCAACTCTCTCTAACGAGTGAGAGCCAGAGAGCATCATTTATAGGCAAGATAGCCGAAGATAACAGCTAAACATCGGTGCATTTGACTAGAATTCGAACTACTCTATAAAAAACAAAGGTATTGTCAAAAACGAAAAATTGTATAACGATTTGAACCATATCATAACTGTTTAAACATTTTTTACTTTTATCAGGAAATTCCTTTGGGATTTTTAGAATACAAAAAGTCGTGATTCAAAAAACCCTGAATTGCTTTAGGATTATAAAACACCTGAACGATTTTTTAGTGACATGAAGAAATCCGTTTTTCAGAACGTAATTTAGCCGTATTTTAGAAAACGAAAATTTGTTTTCTGATAAGAATAAGAACTTTTAGACAGTTACGATATTGTTTAAATGGTTATACCCTTTAAACGTTTTTCACTGGTTAGACCTTTTTCGGACTTTTTGAAATACGTTCTTTTTAGAGTGTAGAATGAACTCAA